ACTGGAGTGTTGACAGTGAATAATACAAGCAAGATATGAAAGAATTGCAGAGGGAGTAAGTGAAATTTAAATATCACAGTGGATAAACAAATTCAATTTTCAATTTCATTGTTTATCGATTCTATTTTCATTTTATGAAAGTAAGTCAAATAACAGGTGACGTTTGTTACCTTGGATATTTTAATTTGTTGTTTATTTTGTTTTTAATTCTGAAAGTTAATGTAAATTACACTCAGTTCAATATGTTTTATTATTACTAATTTTGATACAGTATTTATTTAAAAAAGCTTCTGTGTTGATAAATTTGGAAATTTTTTTACTTACATGATAATGGGACACTGATAAAATTGTGTACTGTTTACAAATTGAACATTATTTCGAATAAAACATAACCATAGTAATATATGCATAAGTAATTTTCGTTAGTGTTATTGATAGTTACATTGTTTTTAAATCTGCTAGAAATTATAAAATCTATGGATTATGGTTATGTGTAAACTTGGAATTCGTCAGCTAAGGCGTCCCTGGATTCCGGTGCTTACATTTGTTGTGTTCTGCGATCAGACGGAATTTCGACATAAACCTCATTCGATATGCTAATACCACTAAGCAAACGAGAATATTGAAATTAATCGGGAGGTACAAATAATAACCGGACTGTAGTGTACACGAATAATAAGAATATAGGCATTGGTGCTCCTGACATGAACCAAGATGTAGGCTGAGAGGTAGAGTGGGTAATAAAAGCAATATTCTCCTGAAGCTTACCTTGTATAGAAATTCTTCCTGACAGTTTGAACTTGAAGTAACTTGTGACCTGCCTGGTTTTTGTATAGGCACATGATATATCTAAACTCAGCCTATAGGTGTGCACATTGAACTCAGACCTAGTTACTTTAACTGTGAAAATATTTCAATAAACATGAAATTACAAGTTTTTGTTTTGTACATGTATCCGTGCAGTTTAGCCATTAAGTCAAATGCATTATGTTATCGTGAATCAAGTTGTTCTAAGATATCTGAGATACTAAACAACTTAAGGACAAGGTTTCATCGGTAATGGTGATTATTCTAACAATGATATGTGGCAGCATAAATTCCCATGACAATTTTCCTGATATCATCACTGCTGAACAGTCTTTTTCCTTTAAATTGCTTTTTTAATATTCTCATCTATTGTGGAAGGTAATAACTGTTTAATCTTAAATATTTTTCAGCTAATTCGGTAGAATTCTAATATTACCAATCAACTTGGGTATTTTCCAAACGGACATAACGATATTTGAATTTTGTTACTACTAACAACAAACATTTTTTACTTGTTTGTATTTAACCATCAAACTGGGGTTAAAAACGTAATTCGGTACGTTGACACTTTTAGTAAGCTTTTAATTTTTTAAAGGGGGACATTTTATTGAGCATTTTTAGGAGTTAACTGTGCACCGAATGAAACTGAGAAGTCCTTTTGTCTGGTAATTTCAAACTCACTGTCTTGACTGGATAACTGGGATGAAAGCATGTTGTTTGAGGCAGGGTTTGCAATTTGATTAACGAATTTTTGGATTGTTAAAATAAAATGAAAAGCATGGTAATCGATGGATGATATAAAATGATACCATTTAATAGAATAAAAGCAGTTTACGCGACCCAGTTAAGTTGATTGAGATCAATGCATAAAGCAACAGTCAAATTATGAGGTTCGTAATTTTGTAAAATAATACATGGAAATTTAGATTGTCGCCCTATTGTTTTTATATTTATGCAGTATTTGCTTTTTTCTTAATTTTTAATGGAGAGAAACCTAATTCATATTTCAGCCAGTCAGTTACAACGTAGAACTTCGTACGTAAGTATATCAGTTCATGATGCCATACCACATTAGCATTCACACACAAATCCAAGTCTAATCCCTTCAGTAATTGTAAAGATGACAATTTTTTGCTTACTTAGTCAAAACTAGATGTTAACCATTTCCAAACGGTATAGTGTTATTCTTATCCACTGTCAATGAATCACCCTCTTAGTCTTAATGTAATTGACTACATAAGTTACGAATTCTCATTAGAATTTCAGTGAATTTCTGTGTAAGTTAGTCATCAGTATGGAAACAATTGTTGCAAAGACTTGAAGTAAATGATATATTTGTATACAGGTATGTTCACGCTTTTACTGTAAGGGAGTCCTTGTTAGGTTTCGAATAATCAGAGGTTAATATTTGAGTTACCGTATTGATCAAACTGATTCCTCTGTGGTTATCACAAGAGGAATTTATCCCTTTTACGGAAATGGGGACGATTAACGATCAAGATCAGTCAGATAGATAATGTCTAGTTTCCGAATTCTAGGATTATTTCATGTATACCAGTTCGTTTCCTTGACTTCAGACTACTTATAGGTTCGTAAATTTCAGTAACAGACGAAAGCTAATGTTGATATACTTAGATTATTTAGGAACATTGGGCAACTTCAAAGCAGCTGGAGGCTGGTTCAACTTACTTGACACTGGCTGATAATTTTTCTGTAACAGTGTAATCCGTCACGACTATAAGGTAGCCCCAGTTTTCTTGAAAAGCCTTAACAAGTGGAGTTCAACTGTATCAAGTTTGAAATAGATATCCATCGAAGATAATTTAAGGTAGTTGTGCAATGTGAGTTGATTGGGGTTAGATATCCAAATTAGTGGATGGTGACCCACTGGTCTGTAGATTATGTGCTAGTAGAGAGAGACCCGAATTTCGTTGCTTCTGTCTCCAGTGAAGTGGTGGACAAGCGCTGCTGTGGGTCCCATACTTGTACGAAACAGTCATCTATGGCCCCTAGGTTTTCAATTGTTATTTAACTTAGGTCGGTTTAGCAATTTCTATAAATCTATACACTAAAAATGAATCATTGAATATTATTCACGAAGTGCTTTTTTTGTTAAATTATATCGATCATCCCTGATATAAACTAGATTCTTTTATGTATATTTCACCATTTTGGACGACAAAATAATCAATATGAATCGCTTAGTCAATGACCACTGTGAAATTGTGTATGGTGCACGCAAACATGTGAAAGCATGTTATTAAAATATAAGCACAAATAAATGCACATAAGAGCTGATTTCATTGTTGTAAACAAGAGGATATGAAGCTCAAAACTCTACCATACAAATAATTCAATACAAACATGGTCGCCAAGATAACCTATCAAATCAAGTCTTTGCTGGATGAGTAGAATTGAAAATATTACGGTTGAAGTAGAAATCAATAATCACCTTTGTGGTTATTTTTTGCAAAAGCTACTTCAAGTTTCATTCTCTAATTTCACTGGATTATACTTCTCGAATCACATCTTTGATCCCTAATATTTTCCAATACCACTAATACTGCTACAATCTCTACTACTATGGGGTTTGAATTGGCAATTCCATCTCTCTGTGCTAATGTGGCTGATTGACTTGGAAAACTACCTGTAATTTAACCAAACCAAAAGCCCTTTAATATAAATTTATCCAAGCAGGTTAAAATGCGTAGACATGCTTACCACATATATCCGAGCGTGTAATATATGTTAGATAAGGTACAAAATCAATAAAGAATCTAAGGTTGACTGCACGAAGCTACAAATAGACAATCCCTATAGGGACTTATCTATCGAACATTTTTAATTCTCCGATACAATGGTGTGTGAAGGCCCATTAACTTTTTTTGGGGAAAACTAATTTGGAAAAATGAGTGAGAACGTATTGGGTAAACGTGAACCGTAAAAATACATATACCGCTTAAAGTGACATTAAATTATTAAGTGTTGGCAAATGTTGCCTATTAATTTGTTAGAAAGAGGAAAAGACGACTTTCAAACAATAAATGTGCAATGAATAAATAAGCGAAAGTATTTGCACTTGCATATAGGTGCTACAATCACAATTATCACCACCAATCAATGTAGAATGTAATTTTATCGACAAACAACGATAACAAGATTGAAAAACAAGATTAAGGAATAAAACAATTGAGATTTCAGCGAATGAACAGACAAATGGATTGTTTTAGAGAAGACAAGAAAATACAAAGTAATTTTCAAGATTCAGTACAAAACGGATAGAAGAAAAGCATACAGAAAGAATGAAAGAAATTAAATAGTACATATGTATTGAACTATAGAAACAATCCATTACGAAAGAAAGAGTTCTTAAAATGCTTAATCTCTAAGAAACATCATTTATCATCAATTAATTTAGCCGGTAAGAGATGGATTTGTGCATTTATGCATTATACCGAAAAGAGTATCACATATTAGCTTTATGAAAAATGACAAGGACGAGGAAATTGTCGTTAGAATACATAACTAATAAAAAAAAAGAATATATGTACTTCAACAAAACCATTTTATCTGATAAGTTGTTTTTAAATATTTAAAAGAACAGAAAACCTGCATAAAGAAAGGAATGATTTTTCTATTATTGATTCAATTTAAAGCGAAAACAAACATATTTTACAACGGCATATACCAGATCAAATAAATATATATGCAATGATATGAAATGTTTGCTCCGGCTAAGACATCTGTACAAAACATGATATATGTGTAATAACTTATGGCCAACATAGAAAAACATGCTTATATATTAAGAATATAATGGAATTAGATTGAGTGGAACGCCAACGAAAAGAATAGTCTCTTACTAGAATAAACTGAGCAATGAAATTAACGAATTCACAAATCATTTAATAAGGAGGTCCCGTTAAAGTCAACTTAACAACATGAATGACTCAAAGTGTAAAGAACAAATACATCGACGAACACACATACAAGCACATAAAGAATGAGAAGAGCATTAGAGATAAAATATAAAGCGCATTGATGGTCACAAAATTAAAAAAAAGATCATGTACAAATTGAACTATTTTCATCAAGAAAGATATTAACTATTGAACAAGTTAACATATGCGTATAATGTCTGAAACCCGATATTCATTAAACTATGTATAGGTTCACTTGAACTGCAAAAAAGCCAATAATAAATATTGAAGATGATGATTATGAATTGTTATCATAGTAATAACGGTGTTGATTATGAAAATTGATCTTTACTCTGAGACAAAATAAAATAAATAATCATGATCACGGGAAAGATAAATTCCTATAATGTAACAGAATTTTCCTTATTGAGTTTACTTTCGCTTTGTATATGCATTCTTTTTTTAACAAGCACATCCACTTTGACGAGTCCCACCATTAGTTGTAGTAGTATTGCCAAGTTCTACACTATTTCGTCCGTTACCTGAAGTTAGTGAACCTTTACTTAAAACTCCTCCATCAACGCTATTTAGATATACACTGGAAAAAAAAACATTAAACATCAAAACATGAGTTTTATTCTGAGTATATATATGTTTTTTTCAAACAAAAACAAGATTAGTTACATTGTGAAAAAAGTGAGAATTCCACAACCACTTATCACTATTTACGAGGATGAGGCAGTAATAGTGAGTATTTTATTTGTGAGTACCACGTTTTATGGTCAACTTCTAAGATATTGTATACTTTCATTGAAAAGTAAAGGTAAAGCTAAATATGCCTAAACGGAAACCAACAAACAGCTTGGGACTGACCCGAACATGATTAATTTAAAAACAGTAAAGTAATTGAAGAATCCTATCTGCTGCATTCGATATTAGTTGACTGGAACCTATAGTTAACTGCTTGAGATGAATGGTAGACCAATACACTGAAAATGATTTAACTTGTCCTATATGGGAAATCCATCATATTTATCTACAGAAAATTTGATTGATCCTGGTCAGTACACAAAAACGATCATGGCAGAAGGGTAAACCAGTCAACTAATTATTAGTAAATCTACAATTAATATTAACGAAGCCCATCGGTGTTAGCTGACTGAGAGTATGAGGAAAAACCACAATAATTTGTGAAGTCGTATATCAACTGACTGACGAGTAATGCAGTTAAACAAGTCACACATACGTTCAGTCAGATGCAACGTAGAACTTTGTACATAAGTACATCAGTTCATGTTGCCATACCACATCAGCACAGAGAAGTAATCGTCAATTCAAATCCAATAGTAGAAGAGGTAGTAAGGGAATTAGAAATAATCGGAGAGGTTAGGATTAGAAGATACTATTCAAGAAGTATGATTCAGTGAGATAAGTTTAGAGAGTCGAAACTAGAGGGGTTGATGAGTCCAGAAGATTAGGATTTGAGAGAACACAGAGAATAAATGCACCGGCGCCATTGCGAACGATTTTGAGCCATGTCATTCAAGGTCTCTAACCATCGATTATTATCATCTCGCGGACCCCAACCAGGTAGTCGACAATTACCAACATGGCTCAGTCCACTAGTCAATGACTTCATGGATTTCTGCCATGTTTTCGTTTGGCCGCCCCTAACTTTCTTCCAACCTATTCCTACACTACAAAACAAGGCTCGACGAGGCAGCCGGTGGTTGGGCATACGCAACACATACGTTATAAAATCAGGATAAATAATTGGTATTATTTTAATCTGACTAATTAACGTTGAGTGATTTATCTCATAAAATTTTTAACAACTTTGCTGATGAGATAGAATTGTGAGCTTATGAATTAATGAGTTACACGTTCAAAGACAAAATCTGAGTATTAAAACAACCGAAAACAAGTTCAAAAGGGTCATGTGCTGAAGTTTTTGGTTGGCGGACAATGCCACCAAGTTGACCAAACCACCATACGTGAAGAGGCGGTAAAATTTGAAGACTGGTAGCTGGAAGTTAAGTACTTTTACGAACATGCTAATCACCAAAACGACTAACCCGTTAAAACCATTTCCTAAATAGATTAATTGACGTCTTCAACCTTCAATTCCTACTATGATAAAAACAACAGTCACCAAGACTATACAGATATTGAGCTGGGTAATATATTTTGGCCTGATCATATGGCTTATTTTATTTCAATTTCTACTCAGCCAATAATCTCAAGAGATTTAGGTTCTTAACTTCATCTGTTGGTTTACCATTTTTACATGGCGTCCCGTGGTTACCAATTCTACCCTAAGTTATTAATATTTATGAGAAAATGAACGCTGAATAATTTTAAACTTTTTTCACCGAATTCGCTAGACCTTTCAGTTTAATTTCATGTCATGATTAAAGTAGGTAAATTCCGAACAATGGACTGCAGATCTAAACATCAGTTTATATACCTTTATGCAAACGAATACTATCGCTAGCTAGTAAACAAAGTGATTTATTTGAGTTTGTATTTGTTCGTAGTGTTACAACTAAACTTAATAAAAGACAAGAAAGCTTAAGTTCCCTGGCTTTCAGTTAGAATATAGATACCTATTCTTTTAATTAGAAATTTTGTATAATAGACTAACAATGTGTTATAATTCTCTCTTATTACGACCCAGCTATTCATAATCCTTCAGTCAGTCAGTCAGTTGCAACGTAGAACTTCGTACGTAAGTACATCAGTTCATGTCGCCATACCACATCAGCACAGAGATATAATTGTCAATTCAAATCCAATAGTAGAAGAGGCAGTAAAGGTATTTTAGAAGTAATCGGAGAAGTTAGAATTATTATTCACGAAGTATGATTCAATGAGATAAGTTTAGAAAGTAAAAACTAGAGGTGTTGAAGAACTCAGAAGATTAGGTTTTGAGAGAACACAAAGAATAAATGCACCGGCGCCATTGCGAACGATTTTGAGCCATGTCATTCAAGGTCTCTAACCATCGATTATTATCATCTCGCGGACCCCAACCAGGTAGTCGACAATTACCGACATGGCTAAGTCCACTCGTCAATGACTTCATGGATTTCTGCCATGTTTTGGTTTGGCCGCCCCTAGCTTTCTTCCAACCTATTCCTACACTACAAAACAAAGCTCGACGAGGGAGTCGCTGGTTAGGCATATGCAACACATGTCCCAACCACCTCAACTGATGAAGTTTCACCACTTCATCGATTGATCTGCCATTCTTACCTAGTACCCGTTTCCTAATAACAGTGTTGCTCACTCGGTTGTCCCACGGTATACGAGCAATGCTTCGAAGACACCTATGATCGAAAACCAATAACCGACGAGTATCTTCTACTCTCATTGGCCATGTTTCACAGCCATAAAGTAAAACGGAGCGAACCACTGCGCAGTACACTCGTCCTTTAGTCAGCAAACGGATATCTCGCCTACGCCATAAGTGACGCAGGTTGGCAAAAGCTAATCGAGCCTTCTGTATCCGTGCTGAGATTTCGTCAGTCACCAGGCCATCGGCACTGATGAGACTCCCAAGATAGGTGAAGCGGTCTACACGTTCGATTACTTCACTCCCTATCACTAGTTCAGGTGCCGATGAAACCCAATCTTGAAGCAACATTTTGCATTTCGAGGGGGAAAACCGCATCCCGAACATGCTTGCATTGTTGCTTATGGTAGTCAGAAGACTCTGCATTTTGTCAGCGTCTTCACCAAGTAGGACAATGTCATCGGCATATTCTAAGTCAATAAGCGAGCCACCTGGTAAAAGGTCTACTCCTGAAAATTCAGACGAGGATAAGGTTATTTCTAGGAGCATGTCTATGATAAAATTAAACAAGAATGGAGAAAGTGGACATCCCTGACGGACACCACTTTAAGTAGAGAATTCCTGTGACAGTTCGCCATAAGCTCTCACTCGACCAGTGGTGTTCGAGTAGAGAGCTTGTATAAGGTTAATGTACTTCATTGGTACACCTTTCAATGACAGACACTGCCACAGAACCTTACGATCAACAGAGTCAAATGCCGCCTTAAGGTCTAGGAAGACAACTATTGTAGGACGCCTAAATGTGTGTCTATGTTCCAGGACCTGTCTGAGTGTGAAGACGTGGTCTATACAGCCACGTCCAGGTCGAAAACCAGCCTGGTTTTCTCGAGTCTGCTCTTCACGAGCTTTCGTTAAGCGTCGAAGTATTATTGAGGCCAATATTTTAGATACTATGTTAGTTAGACTTATTCCTCTGTGATTGTCACAAGAAGACTTCTGTCCTTTCTTATAGATTGGGACAATCAGTGATTGAGACCAGTCGGATGGGATTACGTCCAGTTCCCAGATTCTACCTAAGATCTCGGTCAATCTAGCTGCTAAAACTGGACCACCATCCTTAAATATCTCAGGAGTCAGTCTATCAGGACCTGCAGCTCGTCCTCGTTTCAGATTTCCTAACGCTTTTTCAACTTCATTAAGACTAGGCGGACTTATGTCGATTTGCCATTCAGGATGACTGGAGATCGTGGGTAACTGAAGAGTGGCTCGAGGCCAGTTGAACTGATCCCTAAAGTGTTCTGCCCATCGATCCAGTCTCCTGGATTGAGAATAAATAATAGTCCCGTCATTTTCTGAGATAGTCTCACTCACACTAGGATTCGTAATACCAGTTTCCTTGATAAGTCGGAAAAGTTGTCTACTGTTGCCGATCGCCGCTGCCTTTTCCATCGCTTTTGCTTTCGCCACCCACCACTGCTCGCGATCGTTACGTAGGCTTTTCATAAGTCTGCGCCTAAGTTGACTTCGTTCTTCATCATGTTCAGAGTCAGGTGGGATGAGTTTTCGGGCATCCATCAGATCGGTGGATGCTACTGAGATCCACGGTTTCATTCTAGCCTTATGGTCAACCTTACTAGCAGATATCACTGCTGTTTCCACAGCCTTTTTGATATCATTCCATCCTGCTTCCGGATGGGAATCGCTTAAATGGTCGCCTAACTGTCTTTCTAGTTGTTCCTGAAATATATTTTTCGCCTTATTATCATTAAGTAAAACCCTAAGAGGCTTTCTTACGGTGTCTTTCCTACGCCCAGTAAGCTTCAAACAAATACGCGCTCGCACTAGGGCATGATCTGAATCTAGACATGTGCTCCAGAACGAGCGACAGTCCTCTATCGAACCCCTCCATCGGTGGCTGATGGCGATGTGATCTAGTTGAGTCCAACGTTGAGACGACTTTGGAGGTCGCCAGGTCAACAGATGCTTTTCCTTATGCCTAAAGTTAGTGTTTGCTAAGAATAGGCGGTTGTCTGAGCATGCTTGCAACAGACGGTCACCATTGTCTGTTCTCTGAGCCGCGACACCATAACATCCACCTAGGTGTCTCTCCTGCTCACTTAGTCTACCTACTTGAGCATTAAAGTCACCAGCCATTATTACTATATCAGAGCGCCTAGCTTTTTGGAGGAGGTCCGAGAGCTTTCTGTAAAACTCATCCTTAACCTCGTCTGAACTGCATTCAGTGGGGGCATAGGCAGATACGATGAAGAGGCAACGGCGATTGTCCCTATCTTTCCGAGTCCTTACTGTCCCGTTTAGTCGGACAGCGCACAATCGACTATCTATTGGGATCCAGTCAAGGAGAGATTGTTCTGCCCTACGACTCAATGCTATGCCTACGCCAGCAAGACCCCTGGAAGCAGCATCAGGGCTACCGGATACACGAAGAGTAAATCGAGCTGCTTCTTCGTTTTGACAAGGTGAAATCAGGTTAATGACTTTACTAGGATCCTGTATGCGCGTTTCCGAGACGCAGCATACATCGATGGCACGAGATTCTAAAGTCCTAGCTAAGGAAGCCTGTTGCCCTATTTGACACAATGTCCGTACATTAAATGCTCCAACATGTAGTCTAGAGCGAGGTTTAAGGAGACCAGGAACGACGTTTCGCGAACTCGTATCGTCTGCATTAGCTGTGCACTGTGATGAATGAATGTGAGAAGAGTTAGTCGTGGAGATAAGAGAGGTACTAGGGGGTGTAGGAAGGATTTGATTTTGACCAATTTGGTCTCGCGTGCTGTTATGGGTATGAGGGCGGTTGTCACTTCCCGGCTGCCCACACCGTGGAAGGTTGTTTCTTGACGAACCTGAAAAGGAAGATGGATTAGTGTTGGTGCGTGACCGCAGAGTCCAAGGGACAACTGCTTGAGGCCGGTCACGCACGGCCTTTTTATGAAATGTTTTTTGAGTATTAGCTCCGTTCTTAAAGGCCCTTAATGGGCACCCTTACCCAAGGAGACGGAAATCCGTGAGTTAGGGGAGGTGTGACATTTTTAGGGCCGACCTTTTCTAACCCTTCCTTCCTTGTGAGAAGGCAGCATCGCTGCAGATGCTGGTTGTCCGAGGGAAACACCTTACTGCTGTCACACCCCTCTGCAGTCAGCAGTACGACTTCGCCCTCAGACCTTGGGTAGCTGCTTTTAGTCTCATCGTTCTCCAATCGACCTGTCTGGCATGGTAGAACCTTGAGGAACATATGTTCCAGCCAGTATAGCTCGGTTGGGTCATCACGATAGGCAAGCCCGACCACCACGTCAAGGTAGCAGCTACGGTCGGGATTCATAATCCTTAGTATTCTCGGACGCCAATTCACCCAAAACGTTCTCCCAAATCAGAACACGGTTGAACAGGAAATAGATTATATTCCAACAACAAGGTTAGAGGGAAGAAGACAGAAGGTCCAAAGGAAGAAGACGTTAGTGTATTTATAGTTTTCTTACATGAGAAGATTCTAGAATGTTCCCTTAGTACCGGCTAAAGCTGATTGGATACGAAAGAGCCAATCGGTGCGCAACAACGCAATCATGCTTTAGTCCAATCTATGTACCACTAACACAATGTTTCAAATTTTGGGAAGTAGACTCACCCAGCGTGTCGACCGCTTCACTTATCTTGGGAGTCTCACCAGTGCTGATGGCCTGGTGAATGACAAATTCTCAGCACGGATACAGAAGGCTCGACTGGCTTTCGCTAACTTGCATCACTTATGGCGTAGGCGAGATATCTGTTTGCTAAGCAAAGGACGAGTGTACTGCACAGCAGTTCCCTCTGTGCTACTTTATTGCTAAGAAACATGGCCGATAAAAGTAGAAGACATTCGTGGGTTAACAATATTCGATTATAGATATCTTCGAAGCACTGCTCGTGTATCCTGGGACAACTGAGTAAGCAACGCTGTTGTTAGGAAATGAGTACTAGGTAGGGACGGCAGATCAATTGATGAAGTAGTGAAACTATATTAGTTGAATTTGTTTGAGCCCGATTTGGTCTCGCGTGCTGTTACGGGTGTAGGAGTAGGTTAGAAGAAATATAGGGGTGGCCAAACCAAAACATGGCAGAAATCCATCAAGTCACTGACAAGTGGACTGAGTCATGTTGGTAGATGTAGGCTACCTGGTTGGGGTCCACGAGACGATAGTCACCGATGGTTAGAGACCTTGAATGACATGTCTCAGAATCGTTTGCAATGGCGCACGTGCATCCACTGTTTGTGTGCTCTCAAATTCTAACCTGAATTCCACATAATCTCCATCTTGCTCTTTCTAAAGTTAGCTGATTGAATTATGCTTCTTGAATAATATCTTCGATCCCTAATATTTTCCATTACCAGTAATTCTTCTACTACCTCCAACACTATGGGATTTGAACTGATAGTTGCTTCTCTGTGCTGATGTGGTATGGCAGCCTGAATTTATGTACTCAGGTAAGAAGTTCTACGTTGTGACTGACCGACTAACCAAAAAAGCGAGTATATCTTTAGTGTTTATTTTTATTATGATAGGAAGATCAATCATCCGAATTTGCAAGGTTTGGTGGTATTTCAAGTTTTGGAGCTAAGAGAACAAATGTTACTGATAAGGATGACCAGAACCTTAAACGCCTTATCTAAATTGTATCACCGTGCTAATTTTTCCACTGGGTAAGTTTTCGACTGCAAGTATCTTTAGAGCATCGTTCACCCTACACGAAACCTATTTGGCAATGCAGAAGTGGGTCACAGGTGAAAAACCGATTGACGAAGTTATGGATCTTTCCCACTGACGTGGTCATGTGTTGTGTAGCTGGTCACCGCTAACCTCCACCGCCGAGGCTTGCTGACGTAGAAATGGGTTGGAAGAAAGCTAAGGGTGTCTAAACCAAGACCCCCTATCAATCTACGAAGCCAATAACCGGTGATGTGAATCTTGCTTGTAGATGCAGACTACCTAGTTGAAGTCTGCACAACAGTCATGGTCAGTGATTGGAGGCTACGTGAAATGGTTCAGAGTCAGTATCAATGGTATAGGTACATTCGCTCTTTATCTTTTTCTTAATGCTAAATAATCATGTATTTTCCAAACCTGCTTCTCCACTCTATTTGCGAACCACATTCTCAATTACATATTATTGACGAACTAGACTTTAAGAAAAATAGTTTTTCTAACATGCTAAATTTCTAACTATCGACAGTTCTTACAATTGAACTGAAGTTCCTAACAGTTTTCTAAACCATAAATAGGAGAAAAATAAAGCCGAATGAAAGAAAGTTACTTAATTCTACTACTTACCTTCCATCCTGGACGTTCTTGAATATTTTCCGAGCTGTTTCAATGAACACTTCTTCGACGTTCTCACCACTGGAAGTGAATGGAGCAAATCATACACAGATTGATTATCTCTTACATAAACGTACAATTTATGGCCAAATAAATTTAAAACGGTTGATATGAGTGAAGAATTTATTAATACCCATTGGATTTAATGTTTTTGAATAACATGTTTGTTGCAGGTGATATTCTAGTTCCAGGTTACGATCAATGGACTTAAGAGAAAACCCGGTTTTCAAGTTAACAGATTTTATTCAATTTATCGTCAATTTTGTTACTTGCACACATTTATCTAACACTGAGTAACAAAAAATACAATATTCTCCCAACCGTCCGGTGGAACCAAGTCTTAGTAGTTTATATACTGCCTAGTTTAGATCGACTTTTTAAATACATAAATGTTGTGGAAAATCAGTGGATCTTAGTAGCATCTACTAAACTGAAAGATGCTCGGAAACTCATCCTATCGGGCAGTGAACATGATGAGGAGCGGAGGCAACTTAAACACAGGCCGATAAAGAGCCTACGCAATGATTGAGAACAGCAAAGAGGAAAGAGACGGAACAGGCGGTGACGATAGATAACATTAAACAACAGGTCAGACTTATCAAGGAAGCCGGTTTCAAGAATCCCACTGTTAGCAAGACTATCTCGGGAAAAGACACAACCACTAATCATTCTCAATCCAGGAGGTTGCATCGATAGGCAGGACACTTTGTGGAGCATTTCAAATTGCCTTGGGCCACACTTCAGTTACCCAAGATCTCCAGTCAACCTGAATGGCAAATTAATGTAAGTTCTCCAACTCTTTAAGAGGTTGAATAGGCTATATGCAGCCAATGGTGAGGGAGAGTAGCAGGTTCTGATGGGTTAATTCCCGAGATCTTTAAGGATGGTGGTTCAGTTTTAGCAGTTAGATTGACTGATATCTTAGGTGGAATCTGGGAACTGGATGTAATCCCATCTGACTGATCCCAATCCTTGATTGTCCCAGACTACAAGAAAGGACAGAAGTCCTCTTGTGACAGTCACAGAGGAATCACTTTAACTAATATAGTGTATAAAATATTAGTTTCAATAATACATCGACGCCCAACTAGAGCTCGTGAACAGGGTTCTATGGCAGTGTCATTGAGAGGTGTACCAAAGAAGTACATTAAACTTGTACAAACTCTCTACTCGAACACCACTGGTTGAGGCAGAGCCTATGGCGAACCATCACTGATTACTTCAAGTCGTGTTAGTTAAACCAACAGCAAACCAATTGATGAAGGAGTGAATCATCATCGGCTGAAGTGGTTGGAACATGCATTACGCATGCTCAACCATCTGAACCACCACTAGCTTGACGGGGCATGATGTCTAGCGTAGAAGTAGGTTGGAAAATGGTCAAACCGAGACATGATACCAATCCATTAAGTCACTGACCACTGAAATGGGCCAAGTCCTTAGACGTAGAATACCTGGTTGGAGTCCATGAGACAATAGTAACCGGTGGTCAGAGACTTTGAGAGACAAGGCCCGAAACCTTTTTGCTATGACGATGCATTCATTCTTTGTCTTTTCCCAAATTCTAATCTTCTGAATTCTTCATGACCTATTTTCTGTCCCTGAATTTATTTCACTCGGATATAAGTCTCGAATCATATCTTTAGACACTAGTTTTCTCCATCACTGCTAATACCTCTACTACCTTTACTACTATGGGATTTGAATTGACAGTTCTATCTGTTTTCTAATGTGGTATAGCAACGTATATGTCAAGTTCTGCGTTGTAGCTGGCTGACTTCCAAATACCACACTTTTTAGACGAGCTGGAACTTTCTAGAAAGATAGCGAAAAATTCCGAGTTCATCATGGATTCTATTTCATACGTAATTGACCGGTGACAGTAATTGACACCATGTAGTATATCATTAAGATTTTGAGACACAGCAAACATAAGCAGTAAGAATTCTCAGTGATAGTTGAACCAGTCTATTATGTGATTCGGATGATGAACACTGAATGCAACAAGTCTCAGTGGTATACCTGGTTTTAAAACAGCTGTATCACATTCAATTGCAGCTTTCAGAAATCACAAATTCACTTAAAATCCAGAAAGTAGTATGTTATTGCGTAGATGAGCAACCTAAACTTAGTTTAAGACACATGAGGACATAAATGAAAATTAAGTATGGTTATCATGAATTAGAGTTGCATTAACACATCAAGGACCGAAACCACCAATACTTTGAGTTTAAACTCATTCAGGCTGTTGTCATTGAAACTACAAAACTAAGGTTGTCGACAGATCACATTTTATTTGAACTTCGAATGCGAAAATGGCTTCCCATTTGTCTTGCTTTTTCTTATAGTACATGTATCTTATCAGACGTCAAGTCAATATTGCTAAAATTTATTTGGTTAATGTAGAATTCAGAAACAACTTGGTCGAATAAATCACATGAAAACAGATGAGCCTTAAAAACATAGGCGCGAAATAATAAACCTGAGGCTCAAGTTCCCGTCATTAGTAGACTACAGACAGAGGAAGTCAAATAGAAAAGATCAAAATGAACAAAGACATGTGAAGTGAGGGAGAGTAAACTAATAAAATGCTTCTCAGAGTTCAAAGGGAGGGGAGGTGGATACATTTGTAAAACTCTTAAGTTCCAGGTAACCACATGATACTCTGGACTGACGGAAATAATCATCTTAGGAACCTCTTCCAAGCGCATTTCAAATCATAATAAGGGGCTAACTTGCGTGAAATCCAAAAAATTAGCATGGAATTGATTTACAACATTAACAGCTTCTGTAAGGCTATCTGGTAGGCCTAATTATTCGATCCTACGAATCCTCTCTCAAGCAAAAGTCATATAGCCAGCTTCAGTGAAAGATATGTAAACAGAACGCTTACCGCCGAAATTACGGGTGCATCGGAAAATTTCAAAATTAAATGAAGAATGCTTACGATTTAGCACTACACTCTAGAAACATAAGCCCATTTTCTTCTGCCAGTTGTCTAGCCTCTTCATAAGTAACATCACGTTTCTCGTCAAGATCAGCTTTATTACCAATGAGAAAGATGACAGTATTGGGGGAAGTCAGTCGTCTGGCATCCGTTAACCACATTTGGATCCGGTTGAACGTTGGCTTCCGTGTGATGTCGTACACAAGTAACGCTCCAGCAGCTCCTCGGTAGTACGACCGAGTTACCGCTCTGAAACGCTCCTGTCCAGCTGTGTCCCATATTTGAATCTTAACTTTTTGGTCATTTACGTCAATAATTTTTGTAGCAAACTCTACACCAATGGTGTGCGGACATTCCGGGATAACTAACAGATCAAGGCATGAGAATAAACATTATCTTACACTTTTTCTCAGTGAACTGGTGCATTAGGCAACTTTTTCCTACTCCCATGTCACCAACAATTATATATTTAAATATATATGAATAGTTGTAGCCGCCCAAGATAGACATTTTTGTGCAAAAATCGAATACAGCGGACTATGTGCTACGCATACGAGTGGTCTCGTGATAGGTAAAAACAAAAGAAATGTCAAGTGGTGCTAAAACTTCGCGGGTTAACTAAGAGAAGCTTATACTTGGTAGGCTTTCTTTCCTCTAACTAATCGATCGCGACAACATTCACTGTATTTTAAGGTATATTATAGCATTCAGACACATTATAAGAGTAGTCGATGGAATCAGCGTGACCTTTCGACAAATGAAGAGCTACTAAGATTCAGGATAAAACAATAGATCAGTCGAGGCAGTGAAACCAAACACCGACGTAACTGTAAAATTCCCCATGTTTTCCTCGAAAATATTTGAGAAGGAGAACAGGTGACAATAAACTGGAAAGGACATCTCATCAATATGCCAAAATTGGGAGGTCTTAGCTAGTGTAAGAGCTACAGAAGCATCATACTGCCATCAGCACTAGACAGAGTTTTCAAACGGGTGTTTTCAAACCTTGTGAAAAGTTCAGTAGACACCCTACCTCGAGATCAACAGGCCGAATTCCTTAAAAAACGGTCGCGCATCAACCAAATTGCGAAACTATGTATCGTTGCTAAACAATCAGACGAGTGGAATTTATCATTTTAAATCAGATTTGCTGACCATCAGAAAGCATCTGAGAGTCTGAATAAAGGAATATTACTGAGCCTTTTTCAATACTTTGGAGTGACTGAGAAGATGGCTAACATCATTCGGAATTGTAGTGATGAACTATATAGAAAGATCGTTCACAGAGAATGGCTCACGGAATCATTTCAGGTGAAGATAAGGCCTCTTACTCTCACTTTTTCACTCATCTCCGGTGGTCAACCGGATTATTTAAACTTAGAATTATTAGAGAAGCCTTGGGAGATGTGGAGACGTGTACGTACCTAGGCACCACAACTGGTAAACTGGGAGGATCTGATGTAGGCATGTAGATACCGTTCTACAATGCAGAAGCAACATGTCTAGAATTGAAGAACATAAGCGATCGAAACAACTGGCAGTCAACAACAAATTCAAAATTTTCAGCACTAACGTTAAGACATTTCTTTTGCACGGAGCAGACATTTGGAAAACTAGCAAAGCCTTCATTCAAAATCCATCAAACTGTTACATGGACACCACGAATAATGGCGAATTTCAAAAATAATCAAGTCGGGTTTCATCATTTCACCTAACAGTAACATGCAATATTTTATTTCCATTTAGACGAGGCATATATATTGTGTTGCAGAAATATCGATCTTAAGCTCGTTTTTTGAGATAGGATGTATTTAGTGGTTTCATACATACATACCACTATGAAAAAAGGTGTTGTTTCTGGACGAAACATATCTGATACAATAATAATTCTGTTTTAGTTGTTTTATGGTTGTGAGTCCATAGGCAAGTGAAAATTAGTAAACCAGAATTTATAAAACAATCAGCGTTTTCAGGCTATTTCAGACCACTGACATCTCCAAACTAGTAGACGTGGAAGTGTTCCAAACCACTTGGAGTGCTAACCATCCACAACGACACCATCTTTTTTCCACTACGATTACCAGTGGTTATTCAAAATGGCTTCCCGACATCACCAAAGAACATTGTTTCAACTTTGCAATTATATATTATGATCGATATATGAGATGAAACCCGATTCAGCCTAGTGCATCTCCTGAAAACCAAAACCCGACCACTGTATTCACCGAAACTCCAAAGAGAGCTGAGAATAAAAGAACTAATACATTTATAACATACATGCGTTGCGAGTTGTAATTTTCTTGGCTAAAACCCATGCTCTTATTGATAATCATATCGATAACATTGATCTAATGTAAGTGTAAATACCGTAGAGCGTACTGCCTGAAATGTTGATAAGCAGTTATGATTTCAAAAACTCTATTTTTCAAAATACTGTTTTGATTTGTTTTCCTTGGTTTATTCCTTATCGAAAATTGATGATAATATCATGCTAATCATTCGGTTAATATATAAGATCGATGATTTCACTGCACCTAAGAAGCTCAAATTTCATTATTCATGGTTTAGATTAACACTTCGGGTCAGTGGACGGTTTTCGTATCTGGGGTTGCGAACAAGATTATGTAAAGTGATCGTCACAAACTCAAGCTCATGGATTTAACGGAGTTGAGTGGTGTATTCCATGTCTTCTGGGTTTATACTGGTGTTAATTTCGAATAAGGTCCTACTTTTATCGCACATTCGTTCCCAAGATGTCTAAACAGTGTTTGTCTCCCTTTGCATTACAGTCACATTCTGCAGGATACAATGTTTTTTCGGAATGCAACAATTATTACTTGTAACTAAACATTCTGTCTTTCGATATAATTACTATATAAACATAGTGGAACGTGTCTTCAGGTTCAAGTGATTTCATTTATATTTTACGTTAGATTATCTTTTATTTTCTTCGCTTTACAATAGCTTAAGAGGCAGGTGAGTAAATACCTGGTCACTGGACAGATCTTAAGAAAATCGGACTCCAAAAACATTGTGTTAGGTATCCCTCTCTTGAATAATTTTCCTGCCTCCCTTTTTTTACTATCGCTGATTTCAGTATGTAGCGCTAAGCAACACTGACAGCTGAAGCAATAATATCGGATATGAAATTCGTAAGTTGCGGTCCCTTAAAAGGATCGAACCGATATTCCCATGGAAGTTCATTTTAAGAGGAGGTTGATGTAGCCGTTAGCTACCAGCTAGCCGGATACATTAAAAAGGTAGTTAACTTCCTATCTTTAGGTAGGTGTTGAACTTTATATTATTGCATTCTGAATGTTGAAAAATCTTGTTTCTTTTAAGGATAACCAGCCCTCTCCATTGTGTTTCTGAACAAGATGTGAATAAAGACATAGTACAACAACGTTACTGACTGTTTATATATAAACAGTGAAGTAGGATATCCGAATAAACGAGTCTTCTACAATCTAAAACGACGTCAACTAATGTCGATACATATCAGGAATAAAAGACACTAGTACACTCTCTTTTATAACCCAACTAGTTTCACCTTTAAGTGCCGATATCTTTAAGTTTATTTTGGTGATTCGGTAGCCGTCATCCGGGAGTGATTTAAGTCAACCGAGTGGGGGTTCCCAATTTCCCGTGGTTAATTGTCTATCATATAATATACTGTGTGAAACGTTGTCGAATGTCTTAGGCATTTCAACACAAAGGAATAGTTCCAAATTACGTGGTTCACAACATTGTGTTGCAAGACGAAAGAACTCAAAGTGGCAAGTCACACACAACTTAGATTTTAGGAAAGTGTGGGTAGTCTCAAAATCAGAGAAAGTATTTTTCAAAATATTCCGCATGACTAATTACATAACAAGAGTGCGTGACAATGCGTGATAATTTCTAGTCAGAAAATAAATTCTTGTGTCATAAGATAACAATCTAGGATATTGTAGATTCCATTCTGGAAGGCTTTGTTTGGGAAAATCCCTCCATGAATATATTTGCAATATGTTCTTATCTATCCTTCCAGTTCTACAATTTAGTAATCTGTTTAATTCTATCTCGGGATGTTAATATTTGTATTTTGTTACAGTTCCTATTTTTTGTGCCCTTTTTTGAGTTTCCATGATTCCTTCAGAACTGCATTATGTTGTTTAAGTTTATACTTAATTATGGTGACAGCCATGTTGAATTTGTGCCTCTGGCCGTTGGAACACTAACCTGGACTGGAAGTGTGCAATTTGGATCGGAAATTGGAGTATTTTTCCAGAATAGGAAACACTGTGTTATTATTGAGGGAACAACAGTTGTAATATTGTTTACATAATGATGTACATTCATATTTATGATGATAATTGAACCGTTACTTACGAAGATCAATTGTTTTGGTTTTCAACTGGACAAGACGCGTATGCAAACTTCGGTTGTCCTGTAATAAAAGAGGACGTACGCGCAGTTTGGATAAGCAACGTACTTGAAGAAGCCACAGTCTTTCAGCCAAATACTGTACACCTTATCACAAAAAATTCATTCGCAAAACAAGCTTATTCTTAGATGTTTTCGTTCGGATGTTTTTTATTCCTCAAAACAATCATGTTGCTAAATAAATCCGGATTAGACACACTGCTTCAGCTGTAACTTTAGGGCGACATTCTGCTGTGCATTCACCGCATACTGCTTATAAGCTGAACCGTACGTAGTGCACACCACAGACACCAGTTCAAATCTGAACTATTCTATCTTACTACACTTACAGGAATCACATGATTTCGAACGATTTCCTTCCATTTTAAAGCCTCACTTTTAGCTGCAGACGCATTACGGTGAACTGACACTACTTGACATGTTTTAATCAGAACTCGCAATTTTCCGAAGGCCAACGCTGGAGGCACATCAGCTGAACTTGGTTACGGCACTGAACTTCGACTTTTAGAAGAATTCGTAGATTCGCCACCCGTCTCAGTATATGTAGATCTTAACATGAGAAGGTATACAAACACAGTGCTCTTCAATTAAACTCAGTCAACTAGTGCATTATTCCGACCTGCCTTACATCTGAGTTCACGCCTTATCGTGCGTTCAAACTCGTTACTTCCCCCAATCGAAACCCCATAGTAGGGTAAATTCATTGTCCTTCATCGTGAACCTAAGAACTATACGA